AGTAAATAAAAACGATCACCTACCAGCCGATGTTTCGCTTGGCGCGGCAGTGGCGGTAGGTTCCCTTGCCTCCCCTCTCCTCCATCCGCCCCCCCTGCTCTGGCGCGCGGAGCGCGCCGAAGGCGGCGCCGGAGTCGCTGCCAGGGGAGTTCCAGCGCCAGTGAAAGGAAGCCGCGCGGGCCTCCAAAGGTTATGCTTATGTCGTTTTCTATTATTCGGTTCCTCCTCCTCCTCCGAGGACGTCGACCGCCCCCACGACCGCGGCCGCCACCGCCACCGCCAAGAAGACGACGACGACGACGACGACCTGGCCGACACCGCTGTGCACTCCATCTGTATCCAAATTGGTGCTCCCTGGACCTCTCCAGGGGTGCGCTTTGGCCAGGATTTCGAAGCGAATCCCCAGCCATGCGATGTCCTGACTTCTTCAGCACGGGGCCCCTGGAAGTTCCGATTCCCCGGGGCCAGTGTTTCATCCCGAGCCGACTCGGGATGAAACACCGGCCCATCGGAAAACCATCGATTTCCGATAGGGCTGGGGCCCGGCGAGGGCCCCGAGAGGCTGAAAATGACAAAAAAACATGCCTTCCTGTTTTCTTCACGACGCGGACATGTCTGGATTCGGCGCTGGCGACGGGGGCCTCCCAGGAGGCCCACTGGAGCCACAACGAGCGAAACACAGACTCGGGTCGGGCGAAAGGGGTGATAGCAAAGGGGGGGGGTGAGAATCAGCTCACATAGCTGATTTTCCCGGCGCCTCCCGGCGCCGGAGGCGGCTATGTATCGAGGAGCGGGCCCCTCGGTGAGGCCGAAACCAGCTGCATGCAGCAAATTTCGTAACCCCCCCTTTCCCAATCACCCCCTTTCGTCCGGCCCGACAGACGCAACGCCAACACCTTTTCCTCGCCGGAGCTGCTCGCTCCCCCCCCTGGCTGCCCTGCTGCCCTGCGCTGCAGCAGCCTGGAGTCCCCCCCGCGCGGACCAGCCCCGCTCGGCGGCCGCGAGGACCACCGCCGGGTCGCCCCTGAACGGCAACCACATGTCGGCGGCGAGCCCAAATTGGGCGTGGCTTAATGGGGGGGCCACAAATGGAGGGGTCAGAAAAGGTCCCCTTTCGTGCCCCTTTCGGGCCCCTCCAGAGCCCCAGGGGGCTCGTTTAGGTACCGTTTGGGTGCCTTTTCGAACCACCCTCGTCCCCCCCCCATTTCCCTGACCTTCCAGAAAGCTATGTTTTAGCACTGGAGACCTAAAAACCTAAAAAACTCAACGAAACAGCCTAAAACCAAGACGTAGAATAGCTCTGGGATATGTTTTTAGGTCGGGTGCTATTTTTTAGCCCTCCTGGAAGGTCAGGGTTATGACCCCCCCATTACGCGGCGCCCAACCAAGGGGGGAGCCGTGAGATCCGGGCGTGGCGCTCCTCGTTCACACCGGGCGTGCTCGCCAAGGTCTCGTGCCCCGGGACCCTCACATATAGACCCGGCTCGAAAAAAAAGCAGAAAGATCGTGCCGACGGCTCCGGTCGCGATTCTGCCCGATGTTGAATGTTTTCGCAACGCCGGATATCATGGAAGATGGGAGGGGGCGGGGCGGGCATCCTCAGAAGGCTCGGAAGGCCTCGGGCCTTCTGGAAGGTTTTCTGTAGCCTGCCACCGAAGACACGGACAACTTCCCAGAAGGCCAGGAGGCTTCTAGGAAAGCCCCGCCGCCTTCTGAGACGGCCCTCAACCTCCCTCTTCCACCCCGGGCGCGCCGCTGAACGGGTGAAACCTACCCCCGCAGGTCAGACTTCTGAAACACAACCCAGGGTTTGGCGTCTAAAAAAAAACAATCGTGCAACAATCACGCGAAGTTTTTGGGCGCTTGGGGCCTCCCCTTCCTCACTGGGCCCCGGGACACTCAAGAGTGGCTCTGGTTGAAAAGCGGGTCCCGCGGGCCAAAGGTCAGGACTTTCATAGAAACCCCGCATGGAAAACATCAGGACGCCGCATGTCTGAAGGCGTTCCTTTGCAAGCACATCGTCTTCGGCACCGCCTGATTCCGGCGCTTTGCCCTCTCCTGGCCTTGACGTGAGGCCCCTCCTCCTGCCTCCCCTCCTCTGCTTAATTAAAGCTGTGCGCGGCCAGCTTAGCTTCGACCGGAAGAGGTGCGCTCTCGACCCGCGGATCAAGACAAGCATGTCTGGGAGGACGTCTGCCGCCCGGCAGGCCCCCGCGGGGGCGTCCGAGGGCCCGGGCACTGACGGGACCCGCAGGGGTAGGGCTCGCAGGTGGGCGCAGGCCTGAGCTCTGGCGCGGCGAAGCGGAGGGCGCCCGGGCTCCGCCGCACGGCCGCGAGCACAATCTCCGGGCACGCCCTCAGCTGGACGGCCGCGAACTCGAGCGCCTCTCTCCGAGGAGGGTGGTCCAACCATGCAGCGTCATGTCCCAACCCCTGACGTTGTGGTCTTCGTTGTTTCGACTCCCAGGATTTTGGACTCATTCCCTGGGACTGGTTCCTCACCCTGAATTTTTTTTTGACCGTCGCGAGGCCCGGTAAGGGTCCCCAGAGGCTGAAAATAGCGACAACAACTCCTATCGTGATTTTAATCAGGACTCGAGGGGGTACGGGGGATTCGTTCAATGCGGTGTTTCCCCAAAAGTCCCGAGCCTTTCCCTGGACCAATTTTGCAGTCCAGAGCTGGACAGAGGGCTCCGAGAAGACCTGCCGCGGCCCCAGGGAGCCTCCAGCCCTGCTGCCCCTCCCTCCTCCTCCTCCTCCTCCTCTTCCTCCTCCTCCTCCTCCTCCTCCTCCTCCTCCTCCTCCTCCTCCTCCTCCTCCTCCTCCTCCTCCTCCTCCTCCTCCCCTCCTCCCTCCTCCTCCTCCTCCTCCTCCTCCTCCTCCTCCTCCTCCCCCTCCTCCTTCTCCTACTCCTCCTCCTCCTCGCCCTTCTCCTCCTCCTCCTTCTCCTCCTCCTCCTCCTCTCCTCCTCCTCCTCTTCCTCGTCCTCCTCCTCCTCCTCCTCCTCCTCCTCCTCCTCCTCCTCCTCCTCCCCGTCCCCCTCTTCCTCCTCCTCGTCCTCCTCCTCCTCCTCCTCCTCCTCCTACAACAGGTGCTGGGCCACTCCAGACTCCCATCCGGCTCCGAGGAATCGGTGCCGTTCGGATTCACCCTCCCTGGAGGTGGGCCCCCCTTTCTGGCGCGCGGAGCGCGCCAGGGGCGGCGCCAGAGGCGCCGCCAGGGGACCCAGCGCAGATCCAAGAACTCCGCGCGGATCCTCCAGTGATGTCTCTTCCTCGAGTATCGCTACCGCGGGTTCGTATCGTGTCGACGCCATCGCTGGGTCCTGACACCGCAGGGACCTTCCAAACTTGGACCAACGGCCGTTTCCGAAACGTCAGATAATTCAATATCGACCGATTCTGAGTTGCCGCCGGCGTTCAACTTTAAACATCGGCGGCGGGGTCGCCGCCCGTCGACGCGACGCGAACCTACCCCAGACATACGAAGCCCAGATTTTTTCAGCGCGGGGTCCCCAGAAGTTCCGAGCCACTCCCTGGGGTCGGTTTTCGTCCCGAGTGGTTTTGGGACGCTCCTGGGGCCTGGCGAGGGCCCCAGGAACCCGAAAACGACAAAAACGCGCTCGTCCTGATCTGCTCTTCGACGCGAGCATGTTTGGGTCGACGCCACGCGCGCCGTATCTTCTTCAAGATCTGGGGAGCCTTCATACGAGCGGCGACCAGACACGGGCCCCACGCGAGATGACACAGCGACCGCACGCACCAGATTGCTCCGGCCGCCAGCGCGGCACGCCACCCTGGAAGTGAGGGCGCTCACGCGGGAAGCTTGCTCTCCAGTGTCGGCGCAGACGACCCCGTTGTTCGCGCCGCCCCTGAGATCCAACGTTGCCAAAAATGGCAACATCGTGCAAAATCACGACCTGGCCATCGCTCGGACGTCCATTCCGTGTGTTTTTTTCGGTTTCGCGCGTGGTTTTTCCGTCAAATGATCAAGGATGCGCCTCGCTGGTCCTCGCCGACGGAAACAGGCACACGTCCGAGCGATGCCAGGCGACTGGACCTCTGGACCCCGCCTTCCAGCGCCCTTTTTCGAGCCAAATCGATCCGTGAGGGTCCCGGCGCCCGAAACTGAGCGAAAACGCCCGGCCCGAAAAAATGGGGTCGCCAGGATTTCCACAGCTCTGTGCAGACGACGCCGCTTTTCTCCGTCGCTCAAATGCTGGTGCCTTTGGCTTGCATGCCGGCCTCGCCGTCCGAGGCCACCGCCGCGGCGACTACCGCCGGGTCGGCGCGCAGCGCAACCGACGCGTGCGCGAGGGCGAGGCCTGACCTGCAGAGGAAGAACACATCCCCAGACATGCACGACGCAAAAAAAATCGTCGTTCCCAGACACCGTCGAGTCATGTCGTGCCGACGTCGGCGTTGGTTTCTGACGCCGCTTCGAAAACTTGGATGGTTGGCGGTTTCAAAACTTGACAACTCGTTCAACGTCGACCGATTCTGGGTCGCCGACGCGGGGCCCCCGGAATCGTTATTCGACGGTCCTGGGGCCCGGTGAAGGCCCCAAGAAGCCGAAAAAACTCAGAACGCAGAGCGATACTGGCAACGCCCAGGAGGGCGGCCCGGAAATAGGCGACAGGCACGCCTAACATGCTCCCCCGTGGAACTGCAGTGAAGAATTACATGCGAGAAACCAGCGAAGCAGCCAAACGCTGCAGCGAGACGCAGCCAAACGCTGCTGCGAAGAAGCCAAACGCCTCACCGCAAGAAAACGAATATTGATGAATGACGACGACAAATGACGATGAACATATCGAACGTGTGAATGCGATGATTTATCGTGCTATCTCCAAAAAGAAATCGACTGACTCGTGAACTGAGTCTTTCCAGATCTTAAAACTTGATGCGAAAAATCCAACCTTTTGATAAGGCGAATCTGCTCAAATCATCTTCCCATCTAAGAAGATGACCAGATCTCGAAAGATATGGCCGGCGCCGCGAATATTGATTTTCGTTGACCCACCACCCGTGGCTCCTCCACTCGGTTGTTCTTTCGGCCCACCTTTCCTATCTCACGTTCGCCAGTGCACCTGCCCAGTACCAATTTGCGGACAAACGGGCGTTCGCCCAGCATTGGACTCTGGCGCTCAGTGCTTTTTGGTGTTCCGCAATGACTGTTGCATGTCTGATCCAAGAAATGTGGTCCTCGTCTTGCGTTCGGCGCGGACCCACCATAGCTCGAAACACCCGCCATTGTGTGGACCTCAGTTTCCTCATCTGCGCTACTGCAATAAGTTTCCAAGTCTCTGCGCACTAACGCCAATTTCGATGCCGTGGCAGCGAACAATAACAACCGCTTCCTTTCTGAAGCGGTGCGCTTCTGCAGCAGCGAAGAAGTGAATGGTACTCCGCCCAAGCAGCTCATAAGCGATTGCCGAACTCCGCGTGTCTATTCCAATTCATCGTCTCTATGATGCCCAAGACTTCGAAGCCGTCGGAGCAACTACATTGAAGAAGCATGCGCTGGCATGCTTTCAATATTTTGTCGGCTTGAACGTCCACGCCTGCACATTGAATGGTGCTGTTGCTCTCGCTGATGCGAAGGCCTGCTCCAGCACCCGTGTCGGTGATGCCAGCTTCATTATCACCAGTGCTTGTCCGGACTTCGCAACTAATGTTGTGTCATCAGCGAACATAGCAGATGCGACTCTGCATCGTCCGAGCACGTTGCTCCCGATCACGGCGCCATACCCTTTGCGTTCCCATTCGTTTTTCAAGCTTGCCATTGTTGTCCTGACCGTGTTTGTAAAGAGAAATGGTGGCATTGGGTCTCTTTGCCGCAGGCCCCTTAATGAAATATCAGCTCGTCGCGGCATTGTCGATGCGGACATCTGCTTCTTGCTTGTCGTACAAGCGGCGGGTTGACTAACATCTGCACGATTCACGCCAGCGCTTTCCGACCGACCCTTGAGATGCCGCAGAAAAATGGTTAGATCAAAAGCGTGTTCAAAGTCAAGTGATGCAACCCATACTGTTTCCCCATTCGATACTCTTCTTTTTGATCATGCGTAGAGTGAAGAACCTCTTCCGTCCAGATTTTTTCAAGACGCGAGCTTGTCTGGGTCGACACGATGCGAGCCGACCATACCTTCTTCGAGGTCAGGGAGGCCGCCATGTTAATGAATTGGTGACTTCGGCTTGCGCATCGGCTTCGCCGTGCGAGGCCGCCGCCTCTGAGACCTCCGCCAGGTCGGAACGCATTCAGCCAAGAGGCCCCCTAACTACTCCCAAGAGGCCCCCGAGAGCGCTCGCCGTCGTCGTCGTCAACGTCGTCGCCATTCAGGATCGGCGGCACCGCCCGTAAGGCCTTCGCAATATTGGTGCCTTTGGCTTGCGCATCGGCCTCGCCGTCCGAGGCCACCGCCGCAGCGACCACCGCCCGGGCTGGAGCGCATTCAGCCATCTGGGGGCCCCGTCGTGCCCGCACAAAAGGTCACCCTGGGGCAAGGTCGACACGACGCGAACGGACCGCACGCACTTTGATTCATAGTTCCAGATCTAGTATTAAATTATTTCCCATGTTCCTATTGTTACTCTTAGTCTTCCTCCTGTATCTGTTTATGATGCTGCTTCTGTACGTATCTTGATACTATTTTCCTGAGTGATCGTCTTATTATTGGAATACTAGATGTGGTGTCACTATTGCTCTTTTTATTGCCAGATTTAGGATTAGTTATATTCTTGTCATTCTAGAACGAATATTACTACTATTACCCTGCTTCGTCTTCTGGGACCTCTGCAGGGCCCTGCCCACGATCTCGGGGTCGGCCCTCTGGTCCTCTTGGTGGGCTTGTTTTCCACCACCACCACCATAAACAGGAGGGAAAGAGCGTCCTCCTCTTCCTTCTCCTCTTCTTCCTCCTTCTCATCCTCCACCCTTTCCCTCCTCCAACTTATGGTGGTGGTGGTGGAAAACGCGCCCATCACCTCTGGCGCGTGCTGCAGCGCCCTCCAGTCCAGGCCGACGGCGGTGAGGGCGAGGTCCGGCGGCGAGCCCAGGGGCAGAAGCGAGAAGGGGCCCGGGCCTTCTCAGGAGGTGCAGAGGGAGGAGGAGGAGGAGGAGGAGGAGGAGGAGGAGGAGGAGGAGGAGGAGGAGGAGGAGGAAGCCCATTTGGCCTCTGGCGATCTGGGCCTGCGACCGATCGCTCGGTCAGGGTCGATCGGCGCCTGCCGCCCGATCGATCCCGCCTCGCAGGCCGATCGCGAGGCCGGGCTCAGCGCGCCGCGGATCGGCGATTCGCCGCCGCCGCTGCCGCGCCCTGGCCCCCCCGCCTGGCGGCTGCCGCGCGCCTCGGCGCGCCCAGGAGGGGCCCGACGCCCGAGCCCGCCTGGCACAGGCGGCAGAGGGAGCGCCGGGCGTCGGCGCGGGCCCTCCTGCGCGTCGTGAGGGCGGCCGACATCCTGGCCAGCCACCACTCCGCGCAGCAGCACCAGTGCAACC